CAAGGTCACACATTAATGACTACGGCTGATGCATCCCAATTTCCGAGCTTAATACCTCCTGGTACTCAGAGTAGCGTGAGTAGGAATATTCCGGCTGAAATAAAGTGGATGAAGTACAATGGGGATGTAGAGTGGGGACCATTCTATTCAAAGTTCTCCACAATCGCCGAATATCATCAGTGGAGTGGTCCCGACTCTCTGTTGGCCCTAAGTCTTACGCTAGAGGGGGCAGCTCTTAAGTACTTTGATATCCTCAGGCGACGAGGCGCGCTGTTAAGTTTCCGAGAGGTCGTTCTCCGGATGGAGGAGAGATTCGGTAAAACTTACCTTAGAGCCGCCTCACAGCTGGAATTTAATTCTATCTGCCAGCGAGCGGACGAAGCTATAGAGCAATGGGGAGACCGCGTAATGGACACTGCCCAGAAAGCGTTTGGTAGCGGAACTTCGCCGGAAGTTTTTCAAGAGCAAATAGTCGTCCGATTTGCTCTGGGGTGTAATGACGGCGAGACGGGGCAGCAGTTAATTAATAATCCCCCGGGGACGCTAGAAGAAGCGATTAAGAGAGTCAAAACTTATCAGCTTAGTTGCAGAGCTTTAGCCCACCGGCCGAGGGCGGTTAGATCGCTCTCTAGAGACCGTCAAAATGACCAGAGTCAGTCGCCAATTCTGGGTTATTATCGGGCCAGATCAGGTTCTGAAAGTCAAGATCTTTACGTGGCACGCAGAGGGCGCTCGGAGTCAAGGGACCGTTCTAATCGTGCCAGCAGGGACCGTCCTAATCGTACCAACAGGGACCGTTCCGATCGTGCCAGCAGGGACCGTTCCGAGTCGCTGGATCGGGGCCCTTATAGAACATACTGTTCCAGAGACTCGGAGGACAGCACCCGAGGATTAAGTCCCGAGCGAGGGTCCTTGAGGGACCCGTCATCAAATAGGGGACGTAGCCCTACACGTAAGCCTATAGGGGGGAAATCAGCGAATCAAGGGCACTGTAAGGGTTCAGGGGCAATTGTTTGTTATGAATGCAAAGAACCGGGGCACGTACGGCGGAATTTTCCGCGTAGGAGCAACCCGCAGCCCTTGTGCCCGTGTCTGAAAAAATGTGCAGAGACTAGGACTGGGGAGCGCTCGACTAGTGCTAATAGGGTGACTTTTGCTGACACTCCGACTATCAAGGCCACTTATGTTATTCCCTCAGTTAGGTCAGGTAGTCATAGCATAGGCTCGGGTGCGTGGCGCATCCCCATATGCATAGGAGGTCAGCATATTAAAGCGACTATAGATACAGCAGCCGACATCACAATAATCTTAAGTGAAGTTTATAAGTCCTTGAGGCCGCAGCCCGAAGTTGTTAGAGACACTAATGTTAGGCTAGCTGTCGAGGGGGCTGGTATGACCGCACAGTACCTCGGAAATCTCAACTTACGCATTGGGGATTATGATTTTTATCACCCGATCTATGTTGGCCCTTTGCAAGATGAAATGCTTCTGGGGATTGATTTCCTGCGCGCACATGGTGCAGAATTTGCATGCGAAGCAGGTACTCTAAGGGTCAAGGGCATAGACACGCATTTTGCCCTAAGTTCTGAAGAAACAGTTCCAGTACTCGATGCAGTTTCAGTCCGCAGAGTGCGGGTCCCTCCGCACACTGCCCAAGTTATCGAGTGCACCCTTAGTTCCGAGATGCCAGAGTTTATGCTGGAACCAGCTAACATTTTTCCGCCTGGTATAGTAGCCTCTCGGACATATAACGCTGCAGGAAATGGAGCCAAACTGTGCATACTAAACTTAACTGACAGAAGCCACATAATAAAGACTGGTGCCAAGTTAGGGGAAGCCGTCCCTGCGGTCTCAGTTGAGGGTACCGATCCCACAGTGCGTCGTGTGTCAGCCGAGGGGGGAAACAGTAATAAGCATATTGCCCCACTGCTAGAACAGTTAGGCAAGACCGCGCCTGTGGAAGTCAGGTCTCAGGCTGCGGAGCTAGTTAAAGAATTTGCCAACGTCTTTGCTACTGATGACCTTGATCTCGGAAGTTTTCCCGAGATCGAACACCGAATCGACACCGGTAACGCGTCTCCTGTCAAGCAGCGGATGCGGCGCACCCCCGCTGTTTTTCAAGGGGAGGAAGAGGGTCATCTTGATAAGATGTTAAAAGCCGGAGTCATCCATCCGTCCTCCTCGGACTGGGCGTCCGCCCCAGTTCTGGTCAGGAAGAAGGATTGCAGCGTCCGTTGGTGCGTGGACTATAGAGCCTTGAATAAGGTGACAGTCAAGGACACGTACCCTCTGCCACTCATCGAGGAGTGCATGGACACGCTAGTGGGAAACCGCTGGTTTTCTAAGCTTGACGCTAATGCAGCTTACTGGCAGGTTAAGATAGCTCCGGAAGACCGGAAAAAGACTGCCTTTATCACAAAATATGGCCTATTTGAATTTACTAGAATGGGGTTTGGTCTGTGTAATGCCCCCGCGACCTTTGCTAGGGCCATGAATGTGGTCTGTGTAATGCCCCCGCGACCTTTGCTAGGGCCATAAATTTGGTGTTACACAGGCTCAACTGGAAGATAGCCTTAGCTTTCTTAGACGATATCTTAGTCCTAGGATCTTCGGCACACGCTCACCTTGATAACCTACGACAAGTGTTTGAGCGGTTCCGAGCATATGGCCTTAAATTCAAACCTTGGAAGTGCGAGCTGTTTAAGACTAAGGTCGAGTTCCTTGGTAGAACCATGAGCGAGCACGAAGTTGAGATGGGGGACCAGTACATTGAGTCAGTGCGTGACTGGCCTGTTCCGCGTGATGTTAAGGGCGTAGAACGCTTTCTTGGCTTCGCCAATTATCACCGTAGTTTCATCCCTCACTTCTCCAGAATTGCAGCTCCGCTGTATGCGGTTACCGGAAAAGTGGTTTCCGGTGGGGGGAAGAGCAACATAATGCTTTCGAGGAACTTATTCAGTTAATGACTAAACCTCCAGTTCTAGCGATACCGAACAGTACAGGTCATTTCATCCTGGATACTGACCCTCGGATTATGCCGTGGGCGGGGAATTAAGCCAAATCCAGGGTGGGAAAGAAAGAACAATAGGGTATGGGAGTGCTGTGCTATCCGCAGAACAACGCAGGTATTGTACTACTCGTAAAGAGCTACTGGCGGTTATTAAGTTTACGAGACAATTCCGCCACTACCTGCTGTGTCGCGAGTTCACGGTCAGGGTTAGGGTTAGGGTTAGGGTTACTTCAAGCATCCGCAGAACCAGATTGCTCGGTGGCTCGAAAAACTGAGCCAGTATAATATGCGGATCGTGCACCGTCCGGGAAAGAGGCATGTGAATGCCGACGCTCTGTCCCGGGATATACCCGATTCATGCCAGGGGTACTCGACGAGAATTAGGGTTGAAGACTTGCCCTGCGGCGGATGCCGATATTGCCGCCGAGCCCACGAGCGCTGGCATGAGTTTAACACCGAAATAGACGATGTAATTCCTTTGTCCCAACTCTTTGACGAAACGCCTGTGCCAGCGGGAAGTCCGTCCGCTGAGGGGGGTAACTGTGATTCGTTAGATCCCACTCTCCGTCAGGCTATTGTTTCTAGTCCTTAGGAAGATACTCCTTTGACTGCCAGTGCGTCCGCACTACCCAGTTTTCAGATTGCTGTCAGTGGGGTGTCGAGTCTAGATCCCAAGATTGAGACAGTTAGTCCTCAAGTCTGTCAGTTAACAGATGACACTGCGGGAATTTCGCTTTCTTCATACAGTTCCGTAGATATCGCTCGGAAACAGAAAAATGACAAAGCTATAGTATACCTGAGACCGTACTTAGACTCTGGGGGCCTACCTACTGAAAGTGACTTAATTATCTGTAGTCCGGAAGAAAAGTGCTATCTTCTGGAGCGAGACTGTTTTTATATCGACGAGACAGGAGTTGTTTGGCGAGAATCGGATGACTCGGATGCGCCCCGTCGGTTCCTGGTGCCGCGGAGTCTCCGATCCGAGATCATGCACTTATGTCACGACATACCGTCCTCCGGTCACCAGGGAATCCAGAGAACTAAAGAACGCCTTAAACAACAGTTCTACTGGTGGCGCATGACAAAGGATATTAAGCTTTATGTCAAGACCTGTGACGTATGTGCGAGGAATAAGCGGGGTTCGTTGCCGAACAGATCCGAGCTCAAGAGCTATCAAGCTGGAAGCCCGATGGAGAGGGTACATTTAGACTTTCTCGGGCCGCTTCCTCGAACTGATAGCGGAAACGAATACATACTTATGATGGTAGACAACTTTACCAAGTGGGTAGAGTGTATTCCGCTTCCGTCTAAGACAGCGGAAGTTACCGCCCGTTCCGCTATCAATGACTTCTTTTCTCGATTTGGCTATCCTTACGAAATCTTTACAGATCAGGGCCGTAACTTCGAGAGCGAGCTGTTCTGTAAGATTTGTGCCATGTTAGGGATCCATAAAGCCAGGACCACACCCTACCGTCCGTCAGGGAATGGCCAGGTAGAGCGCTATAACCGCACTCTAATGGACGCGGTTCGTTGCTACGTAGATGGCCAGCCCAAGTCATGGGATAAGTACCTAGGCCCATTGGCTGGAGCGTTGCGGTCCGCGGTAAACCGCCATACTGGATACACTCCAAATCGTCTCATGATGGGTAGAGTAGTAAATATACCAGCAACCTTGATGTTCGCCCCACCGCCTTCCACGTCCTTTCAGAATGGGGAGGAGGGTGAGGTCGACAAGTATGTGCGTGATCTAGAAGAAAATGTTCAGAGCGCGCACGACATTGCCCGCGGAAAACTAAAAGTCGCGCAAAAGGCAATGAAAAGGTCTCACGACATTAAGGTCCGTACCAGTAAGTTCAAGGTCGGAGATTTGGTCTACTGGCGCCGCAATGCGGGAAAAAAGGTAGAGTGAGTATGGAGGGGTCCTGGGATAATAATAGAAGCCAAATCGGACACAATATTTGTTGTAAAATCTCGGCGCGAGGTCAAGGTCATGCACCATGACAAGCTTAAAAGGTGCGAGTCCAGGCAACTCCCCAAATGGTTAATAAACAATAAGAATAAGTTGCCCGGACAGTCGGTACCCCGAAATGGGGAAAGTTCTCCTACGCATGATGCGGTGGCACCGCTGGGGACTGCAGACTCAGCAATAAGTCCTGAGAGCCCGGGGAGTGGGGGTCACCCAAAAGTAAGCTCTAAGCCAGCGGAGTCAGGTCCGTATATGGGTACTCGTAAGCGGGTTAGGGAAAGACTAGATCAATCTAAACAACCTCAGTCGCCCAAGAGACCTAGAGCCACCAGGGGAGCTAAAACCAGGAAATATTGTGTGTGCTTACAGTCTAATCCCAAAGGGATGATGGTGCAGTGCGACATCTGTCGGGACTGGTTCCATCCGGGGTGTGTAGGTATAAGTGAAGACTATGCCAAGTCGATACCTTAATATATCTGCCCCGAATGCAGTCCCGTCGATGTTGGTCGCGACTAGTTTGGAGAATTATGTCCCGCAGGGATGCGGGGTTATGTGCAGCTATTTTTAGCTGGATTGTAAATATTAGTTCTTGCTGCTAGGGAAGCAGATCCTTTAATTATTCAGGGATATTTCCCTGCTTTTATGATCGATCCTTGGTGTTCCTGATTTTTGATTTACCATTGATGTTCCAAGGAGGATCACTTGGTGAGCCAGTTCCAGGATTGAGCGTTCGCGACGGAGTCGTGGACGTGATGCCACGCTAGACTTCATGTCTGTCCTGGGCCCGGATGTCCGGATCCGGAGATGCCGACCGCAGATGTCACCGAGGAACCACCTGACGAGGACGACCCCGGAGGACCCAGAGGTGGACCCGAGAAGACTCGGACGAGAGGCGCCCAGGACCAGGAACGGGCGTGAGATTCTGTGAACTGTGATAATATTCTGTTAATTTCTTTTTATTTTATAATTTTTATTATGGACATTAATGCTTAAATATATGTAATATTGATATTGTATTATTATATGCTTGCTTGTTTATCTATGTAAATGTTAGAGATTATGTTTAATTGATTTTAAAAATGTTAGGCCCCGCTAGGATATAATTGTGAATTTTTATGTACATGATAGTTTGTCCTTGTGTTACGGGCTGGGACGCCCTTTTTCAAAATGGGGAGGAATGTGGTGGTCCTGGAGGTACTGGGCACGATTTGCCCTGCTACTTCCGATCACAGGGTATACGTCACAGCACCTGTCGTGACGTATACCTATCCTCGCTCTCTTTTCTATTACATGCTGCAGAGTACAGACGTGTCTCTGTCAGCTCCGCCATTATTGTAATCTATATTGTATATTATAACTGCGGGCACTAATAAACAGCGAATTATTTTAACATAGTGTTTTCTCTGTTCCGCCATCACCGTAATAGTAGTTAATATAGAGAAACGCTATAGCAACATAGCAGATTATGCTTTTCTTAAATGCAAATTTAACTAAATAGTACCAATAGTAGGGTATTCTCACTGGAAAACAATTGTGAAATTTAAAAGTAACCAAATGTTAAAGTTTTTTTTAAATAAGTACAAAAATCTCCAAGGTCAAGGTCAAAAGGTCAATGTAATTAGTATCAAATGAAAGGTCTTGCCACATAAAATACTTATGTTGAGCATGAAAGCCCTAGCTCTAACCATTCAGAAGTTATGGCCAACGTTCATTTTTTTAAAAAGTAGGTCAAACTCCAAGGTCAAAGTCAACGTACTTGTTATCAAATGAAAGGTCTTGTCATAAGAATCAATTGTGTAAAGTATGAAAGCACTAGCCCTCACTCTTTAAAGGTTATGGTCAAGAATTTCTTTTTTTATACTGTGGTTTCATCAATTTTCGTTGGCATCAATTTTCGTGGATTTTGTAAAACAGACAGTTTCGAGGATACGTAATTTCGTGGACAAAAGCATTTCCTATACAAATGAATGTCATATTTCGTAATTCAATGAACATTTGAATTCGTGGATCTGCTCAACAACGAAATCCACGAAAATTGGTCCTCAACGAATATTGATGAAACCACAGTAGTAGGTCAATCTCAAAGGTCAAGGTCAGAAATTTAAAGTTCTTGGTAACCAATGAGGGGGTCTTTTCACAAGGATTTCATATATGAAGTATGACAGCCATATTACTTACCGTTCAAAAGTTATGGCCAAGTTTAAAGTTTTTTCACAAGTACGGAAATCTACAAGGTCAAGGACAAAAGGTCAAGGTTGTTGATATCCAATAAAAGGTCTTTTAGCAAACATTACAGATGTAAAGTATAAATATCCTGGTTTATACTGTTCAAAAGATATGGCAAAAGTAAAAGTTTAAAATTTTCATGTAAAAGTGGATCAAACTCCAAGGTCAAGGTCAAAAGTCAAATTTGGTGGTACCCAAAGAAAGGTCTTGTCTCAAGGAATATACATATGAAATATGATAGTCATAGCTCCAACAAATCAAAAGTTATGGGCAAGGTTAAAGTTTTGCGGACAAACAGACAAACAGACAGAGAGGCAGACAGACAGACAGACAGACGGACACGACAAAAACTATATACCCCCGAAACTTCGTTACGAGGGCATAAAAATAAAACATTTAATACCACAATTTTACTTACATTACAGAATAAGTCCAAGAGATCTTCTATGTACTTTCTTAAGATCGAACAACGCAAATATAGCTTCTGATAATTACATGACGTTTGTTACACAAAGAAAATTATATTTTGAAAAATAATTTTTCTAAATTACTTTTTTATCAAGTTCACACTGTATAAATATTCCTAATAAACCAGGTTCTATCATTCAAAATTATTGTTAATATATGATTCTGAGTATTTTAAATCAAACGTGTATCTATATTTGTATTAATTAAATGGACATTATATGCAAAGTGTAACTGGTCAAGTGGGTCGGCCCCCGCCCAACAATTGAAAGGTCCCCGGATCAAACACCAGCAGGGGCAACACTTTTAATTGCTAAAATTTATTTTATTATGCTTAATATACTATCTTACATTTTTATATTTAATAATTAATCCTTCATTATTATTTTTGAAAATTTAAACACTATCTTACATATTCCCCCGTCTGTCATTGCTTTACACTGCAATGACTATTAAAACACATAAAACTGTCAATTTCATCATTGAAACTGTCAATGTTTACTTTGAGACCAAACTTGGCTTAGTTTTGCTGCTAATGAATCTCCCAAAGTCGCACCAAGATTTGCTATGGCGTTACTAAATTGTTCAGACTCACTTTCATTTGACCAGAATGCACCACTGTGTGGAGTTCTCAAATCTGACACAATAACATCTCTATTCCTGTTCTCTGTTATGTATACAGGACAATCATAAAGTGACTGACCATCGCCTTTGTATTGGATAGTTTGGATCAGTAATCCTTTACTGTTGTACCGGGTTACTTTTGCTTCTGCGTGGTAGTCTTTCCCTATATCATATTTACCAGAACGTACCAGTAAATCTCCATTTAACAGGGAACTGTAGATACAATGTGGTTTCCAGGGATCTGATCTCTTTACTAGTGTTGACTCTGTTGTGGTGTCTTGTGAAAGTTTGCTGATGTTATCATTTTTGTTTCATACTACACATGCGTAAAAGTCAGTTCTACTAAATTCTTTACAATTATTCATTTTAAAACACAACGACCAATGATGACGACGTACATTTTAATTTTAAAAAATACCTTCAGAATCGGGTGTTTTGACGATGCCATTTATTGATTACACCAAGGTGCCTCAGTTCAAGTTTTTACTATGAAATTAAGATATATATTCTGATGTTTCGGAATTTGCAGGAAACAGTTTCCGTCATCAAGTAATTTTTGTAAAGCAATAGGATTTGAAGGATTTAATTCCAACAACTGTTAAAGCATTTTCTATGAAATTGGGAGATTATTTCTGATATATTTTTAAAAATGCACCACTTTCTCTTTTTTGTGCAGGTTTCGAACTCGGAAGGATTTTACTCCAGCCAGTCCTTTAAACAACGACAGATCCTCGCTCAAACGACGCAGGACTAGATGGACAAATTGTCATAAATCTCCGAACGAAATTACAGATTCCGTTGGAATTTCGTGAGCTAAATTTTGTGCTAAATGCGAAAAAATTGATATTTCAATAAACAAAAAGCCCAAATCATTGTGAAATGAATCTATTATAAAGCAATGAACGGCGGATTTAGGAAATTTATGATCGGAGCCACGGATGCGTCTACAATAACGAATCTGAGACATTCAATTCACTGGATTATTTGTGCCATTTTCAATAGGATTTTTTGTGAAATATTAACATTTAACGCTACTAATTTCCTACATTGTTCATATTAAATTGTTTGATTTGTCATTGCCTTTTAAGTGCTGTTTACTTATTTGCCTCGCTCCTATTGGGCACTTACAAATAACTTATTGGACGGGGTGCAGAACAATAACACATTCATTGAACCAGGTTTAACAACGATAACGTCACAGAAATGTTTTAAGAAATTACTTTACAAAAAATTCTATCATTCAAAATTTGAAAATTTACGTTGAAATGCAAGTTCGTCATGTTATTTTTTAACTGTAAAAATATCGATAGGTGAAGCTGAGCTAATATTGCACAGGGCATGGCTAAACAAGACATGAGCATGAGAAAAACGTATCATGTCTACATTTCTTGAGTACGGGAAAACCCAACTATGACGTCACAAATTTGCCATATCAGCGAAATAAGACATACCTACAAAAATATTTCCGTCAACAACCATGTAAAAATATTTTTTGTGCTCTCTAATTCACAAAATACCCCACCATGTACTGATCATGACCAGTTTTATAATAATATTATCCACGTTTTACCATGTATAATCTTCATGTACTAAGAGATCCAACGTTGGACGCGCAGTGTAAGGAAACAGAAGAGTGGATTAATCTATTCCGTAATTTGATAATATTTGCAAGAAAGTTTGAATGCGTTTAGATTTTTTTATACAAGATTGTGAATTCAAACAAACAGTCAAAAAATTATACAAGTACTGTTGTTTCAATCTTGTTTCGTAAATATTTTATTAAACTGAGTCATGCGACCACGCATCCTTTGTCCCCTTCACACAATTCCAGGAAATTTCAGAGATGGGATCAGGTGCCCAGGAAAAGTAAGCATTCCGTATTACAAAAACAAAGTACTATCCAAATGGTATGAAACAATTTTTTGAAACACTTGCTATTTGATTTTTATACAAGATTATCTCGTCGTTTTATATGTCTGAATATACATAGTCTGTTTTTGCGGCCTGATCCCACCCAAACAAGATGATTTTTTTCGTCATATCCCAGTCCCAATGGTTCAGCCATCCATATCCAATCTTTAATATAATAGACAGGAGATAACCGTCCTTGTTGCGTTGTCATATCGGCAACAAATAAGAATATTTAAGAGTGCGTC